TATATATTTTAATCAATAATTACACATATTAAGATTTAAACTCGCAAATTCATGGGATCATTGATTTGAGATTAAAGGCGTTGTACCAATACCATGAGAGGACAGGGTTAATGAGGACACAATTTTATTTTTTAAAAAAAAACTCATTCATTCACGGACAGAATTTGTGTCCGTTTTTGGTTAGAATTCCTGCCGGTCTGGACTCCGCCTGAACGGACAAGATTTTATCCATTTTTGGATAGGATCACTCCAATCGGACTGGTCTCTTGCCTTTTCCTATCCCTGCTTTGGTAAAACACCTCTCTATATTTTTTTTTTTTAATTCCAAGAAGTCATGCAGCGAATTGCCTAGCTCCACACACATGAATTCTTTGTGCACGCACGTGAGCACCACCCCCTTGCCCACCTCCGGGCTCATAAATTCAAGCTCAATTAAGAGAACTTAAAACACAATTTAATACTGTTTATTTTTACAATGTAAAAATAATTAAAAATGATTTTACTTCAAATTATTTTCTTAGTGTTTTACTATTGATTTAATTTGATGTAATAATATTAAAAATAAATTTTAAAAAATAAAAAAATAATATTTTAATTTTATTTTTAATAAAAAAATCATTTTAAAAAATAAACACTACCTCACACAATTATACAAATCATGAAAACATCATTCATGTCTTAAATTTTCACGACTTCACTAGTAACCATGTCCATGTCATGGCCGGTGAAAAGAAGTTGGATTCCATGAACATGTCAAACTTGATTGTCAAGTCAGAACTGACATAAAAGAAAATCCCCAGCGAGTCCAGCGATTAGCTCACAATCCGAGTTATTTTCACAACATTGAAAAATATTTCACAAATAAACGCAGTAATTGCTATACATATGTAACATATGTGTAATTAAATATTTTGAGCATGTAACACCTGACGTATACTATGCATGTATCAACTATTAAGCTAATTTGAGAGTTATTTTTTTACTATACTTGATTAGAAAATATTTTTTATACTAAGCTAGTCTAGGAAAAAACTCTTCAAACTCCACAGTATATTATTTGAATATATTTTCCAATGGCCCTGTAAAAAAAATAAAAATTGAAAAGCAGTGTCCTGTGCTTGAATTAGTATTACTTACGTCATCATAAAAATAACTACTATTTGTTCGATTGTTTACAAATATTTTGTCTAAATATTTAATATCCATATTTACACGTAAGCCGTCGTTTATGAAGAAGAATTAAGCTATCCAAGCATCCATGAATTAGTTGCACGAACTCTTTCATAAATTCAAAGCTTTCGACATTATTTCTTTTATATAATCAACCAGATCAGGTCACATATATTATTCATGCTGTATTCCAAATTATTACAATTTGGAATGATGCTCGATCCTGCTTGTAAATGATTAAACACAATATTTCAACATCTCTGGAACTTTTTACTAACACTTCATCTTTAGTTACCTTCGTATTCGAATCAAGAGGCATTGAATTAAAAAAAAAAACAGGAATTAAATAATTATATATATATTTTTAGAATAATTATTATATTCCTTGTAATATTACTTAAAAATTTAATATAAATAATATAAATCATGTATTAAGACTTCATCTAATAATTTAAATTATTGAGTTGAGATAGTTATTTGATATAATATTAGAGCCTAAAAAACTAAATAGTCACGAGTTCAAATATCATCGTCTCTATTTATTTAATAAAAATTAAATAATAAAATTCTAATTATTTTTTCATAAATTTACTTACAATTTCGTAAATTCATATTGTAATATAATGTTTTTACAGAAAATCTCTTCTCGTTAATAAAGCTCTCAATAAAAAAACGAAGAATCTATGGAAGTGTATAATTAAAGACTGAATAGTAAGAAACTCATCTCAGATTTTCAGACTTTGAACTTATATTCCTTAATAAAGCTTTCTCTCAATTCTTTCTCTATTATTATTATTATTATTATGAAGGGGATCTAAGTCCAGGAAGAGGATTGCATCGGGTCCATGAGGAATAGTAACTTCGACCGTATCATCATACAAAATAAGATTAATAATAATGACATCTCAATGGCAAAGTGTTAAGAGGCCTAGGCGGGAGGACGCGTCTATGAATGCAAGTTGTCTAGAATTTGGTAGCAATATACAGTGGCAGCCTTGCATTGACAGCAACGAATTCGGCAGGAAAGTGACAATCCTTTTTTCATACTATTATGATAGTTTTGCCTTGTAATTTGTTGAGATAATAATGAAGGTTGCAAATTTTACTGTACATGTCGTGCACTATTCTATCTTGTTGTTCATGTCAATTCTGCTTAATTACAATGAGTTAAAGTGTGGAAAAACCTTTTTGTATGAGCAAAAACACATCATTGTAGCTAAACACCAGCTAGAAAAAGGGTGAGAAAAGGCTTTGTGCAGTGAGACTAGAGTCCCTGTGACACGCATTATGGGCAAGTTTAGCTAACTAGCTAGTCCATACGACGATTGTTTTTGCGTAAAGTGTAGCACACATGAACCTCTTGCTGTTGAGATCAACTGTCGAAAATCTGTGAAGATAGGATCCAATGACTAGATGCACATCTGATTCTCATTTTAAAACTTCAGCAAGCACAGCTGAATTCTTTTTCTTTAATTCTTAACATCTTCTCCGTTTGAAAAGCTACCAAATTTAGAATTTATGGCAAGCACTTTCGAGCTGTTATATATATAATCCGTTTGAGATTTGGACAGAACATGCATCAAAATCAAGTACGCAAGAAGGAAACATTATCATGAACAAACTAAGACAACTCTCTCGTAGTGTGTTAAAAAGCATCTAATTTAACAAATTAAGAGCTCAAGCGTTCAAGGGGTGTAAATTCAATGTCTGAAAGAACAAGGATCTAAATCCAATCGGTCGAACCGTCGAAGTCCAGGAGGTATCGTAATTCGTAATTATGCTTAAAGTAATTAATGACTGCATAGTGCAGTACGATAGCAATCGATAAATTAGGAAGGAAATGCAGCAGAAGATTGCAATGAACCGTAGGATATGTACTGGGGACCAAAAGAGAACCAACGGACAAAGAACTCTATCTGTCAATCCCACACTTTCCGTATTCAATTTCGAAGTACAGACTTAAACCAGCCTTTGCATTGGAGAACGTTAGCCAAACAACGGCCCTCTAAGCCCTAACCTAAACTTTACTCTTGGACGTGGTTGAAGCAACAAGAACAAGACCCACTTTACATGCATACAGCTCACCACACTGGAACCAAGTTCCAATTCCCAACACATGAAAAAGCCTTTCATATTTGCACATTCAACCCCTTTTGAAAGCAAATCCAGGCACAAAAATAGCAATCCCGGCATGGTTGTTTAAATGTTAGACTAGATGGAAAGAAATACTCCCAATTGAGACCAGCTTTTTACCCTCCTTTCTAACAATTACATAGCTCGTGAAAATACTTGGCCAATAAGAGATTGACAAAGTGTACAAACCTCAGACTAGCTCACTGCATTACTGACCCCGCGTGCACCCACTTGGCCTAAACCCTCTCAGTCCTTGCAGTCACCTTGACCCATGTTTTCACCACGGTACTGAGTAACTTTCATCATTTTATCCGAGTACATAAAAAAAAAAGTTACCCCTCTCTCTCTCCCTCCCTCCCTCTCCATGGAGGACTAACAAGGTGGGGTGGGGGGGTGTTAAGTCGGGAAATGCAGTGATTGTCACGTCTGAAAGCAAAGTATGTACTGTGTATTTTGACTGGAATTTGGACTCACTATCTTCATGCCATGTTTCTGAACCAATGTCATAGCTTGTCATTCCTACAGTATGCTCGAGCTATGCAAATGAGAGCTATGCAAATGAGGGATGAAAGTTAAGTTTTTTTTTTATCTGTTTTTTTAGCTCTACTTTTAGCTCTTGTATTGGAGACTACCTTATAATACGAAGAAAATGGTTCATGGACTAGAGAAACACATAGCAGCTAAAAAACAAGCAAAGTCTCCTACAGATCACCATGGAAGACGAATGTACGAGTGCTTGGTACTGGTAGGATGGAATGTATCTAGCTAGCTAACAGCAGGAGATATTATATGATATCTGTTCGTTAATTATATCGTGTGAGATATCAAAAAAGTTCATGCCAAATACTATATAATATTGGCAAACAAATTACACGCACCTACTATAGAATAGTAGTTTTATTTAATATGCATACTACAAAAGGTACACGAACGAACCAAATATTGAGAATTTTTTATTTTTTATTTTTTAACTTAGACATTCTCAGATAAGAAGCCTCGAATAAGTACAATATTTTGTACCCATGCACTTTTAAGTACATTCATGTTAGGCTATGGTTCCATAATAACCAGTTGTAATGAAAACCAGTTGTCATGTGAAAACGAAGATGGATCAACTGGGTTGTTGACCATGACAAAAAAGAAAAGATGACTCGGTAAGGAAAGCTACCAGATATGATAGTAGAAATACAGTCTAGTTATCTAGCTAGGCTATAGCCTACAGAACTAGTTGACAGCTTTGGATAGAGTTTCGTGCTTCCATTAAGGCATATCTGCATGTGAGCTTTAATTGCTTGGGAGAAGGTGAAATTCGGACCTTTCCCATGGGGTTTAAGGACCCCTGGCATTGAATTCCCAAAGATCTGACGTTGGCATCAGGTCATTGGCTACAGAAAACAACATGGTAACAATAGCCTAAACCAGAGAGGGTTCTGCACTACCTGCCTGCATGCAAATGCCACCCCTCTTCTTCAGGATTACAAAGAAATTTACAAACATACTTGTGAACCAGATTAACTTTTAGAGAAATATAAAAGCATATATCCGCCATTGATGGAACAGCAAAACTAAAACAAGGAAAAGAAAGGGTTCGTGTCCATATAGAAGCTTCATAAATATTAGAATTAAGAAGGTATAGTCTAAAATTAGCAACAAGCACCAGACAACAAAAATCCAAGAACTAGAACAAAAGCTAGACATCCAGAGAAAGACAAATCAATTTAGTTGAATTTCTAACAATAAAATTCTCGAACTAAATTTCACTTTCTTAAACACCACCAGACAATTTTGTAAAACTAATTACCACAAACTGCAAGTCATCTAACTCGATTTTGCACCTAAATCCTTGCCCAAGAAAGGTGAACATTTTATTTCTCCTAATAAGATGGGCGCGAGGGAGGACCCGGCCAGTGCATAATTTCAGTAGGAGACATCTGGCAATTGACTGGAGTTGGATTAGCCACACCATAAACAGCCATGGACATGCCAGTACTAACGCAAGACTCGCTTGCAGGACCGCCGCCGCCAACACTAGGTTTAGTCTCTTGGTCAGCCTCGTCATTCTCACCTGGTAGCCTGTGAAACGTAGGGTTCAAGAAAGTAGCTGCCACCACCACAACTTGCGTTGCAGCTATCACCTTTCCAGCCACTATACCTCCAAAAACCTGCCCTTGTGCCCCTGCAAGAGATATCCCAAAAGAAGAACAAGAATGCACTGCAGAACCAGGAGGAGAAGAAGCGCATGATGCTTTTTTTGTTGCGAGAGAACCAACAACAGAGCCAAACAATGCAAGCAAGTTAAACGGTCCATGTAGAGATAGAGAAGGAGTATGAGATACTGGGTGGCGAAGAGTAACATTAGCAACAGACCCAGTTGCACTTATAACACTTATGCCCGCATGGTTTCTACGAGCAAAGTTGACGATGGTTTCGATTACATCAGAACCAGCGGAGATCTCGAGGATGGCTGGCTTCATGGAGGATTCACAGTCTTTGGTGATGATAATGGGTGGTTTAGGCCTGTTTTTTGAGCCCGGAGGTCTGCCTCTTGGCTTTCTCTGGATCTGAACTGATTGGATGTTGTTGTGGTGGATGTGATCATCAGGAGAGGTATTGTTGTGGGGTCGACCAAGTCTTGATGGAGAGTCTGCAGTTACAGGAGTGGCGGAGAGTGTAGGGACACTTCTTGGGCTATGATCGGAGGAGGAGTCATCAGAGGTGTTGGGGAGTTCTCGAGAGAGAGAGATTGCGCCTCCAAAGTGATCTGCCATTTCATGGGGAGAATTTTGTTGAGGATGAGAGACAGATAGGGAAATGGACGGAGCCAGGAAAACCCTGTTTCTTCAATGTTGTCTTTATAGTCAGCAGGGTCTCGAGTTGTGGGACCCCGCAAATTTTGTAGGGTACAAAGGAAGATAGGTGGGGAAACGTTTTTAGAGAGTGAAAATTGCAGTGCACTTGGATAGGAGAAGACATGAGAGGGGTGAAAGCTCTCTAAAATGTGGGGTATCGTTTTATAGTGGGGCCAGTCCAGGCAACAATACAAGACCAGAATTTGTAGTCTCTCAAGTCAGCCGGGTCCAAGTTGACCCGGCGGACCGATTTGGGTTTTAAACAACGGGGTCATGGTGTGGAAGCCAATCTCCCTTGTTTTTCCGTGGTATAAGGCACGGTTATGCCACCTGGCACAACCTAACATTTATTTGAGACCCGGGGTTATGGACGGGTTTCAAATTATAAAGACCTGAAAATATAATTGGTCTGGTCAACTTAAAACCAGGTAACTCATGTTGTTGTTTAATATATTTTAAAAAAACATTAAAAATATAAAATTAATTTATGAATATTTTTTATATTGATTATTTATTAAAAAATATAAAATTAATTTATAAATATTTTTTACATTGATTATTTATTAATTTTTGATGTAATAATGACTCATATTTTTTTTATAAAATATATCTATATGAATTATTTTTTTAATTTTTTGATATTAAATAATTATATACAACCTGCATTTATATAGACTATTTATTAATCTTTCAATATAAAATAATTATAATGCATTTCATGCCTCATATTTTTTTAATATAGTTTATTATTACATGAATTATTTATTGAGATTTTGATACACAGTAATTATAACACACTTTATGACTAATTGTTTTATAATTTATATCTAAATAGATTATTTTTTGACTTTTCTATATAAAATAATTTTATCATACTTCATATCTCATATTTGTTTATAACATACGTTTACATAAAATATTTTTTTATTTTTAAAAATAAAATAACTATATTACATTTCATTCTTCCTATTTTTTTTAACAGCATACATTCATGTTCATATGTATTATTTTAAAAAAAAAATTATTTAAAATATTAAAATCTCACATTTTATCAGAACAACCCCGAAACCATGATCAATAACTATGGTGTAAACCATCATCAGCGTGGTTATTTCCCGCGAGGGTAGAGAGAGATACTGCTACGTTTAGAGAATTTTATTTCCAGCCAAGATAGGGAGAGATGCTACTAAGAGGATTTTTTTTAAGGACAAAACTTATTTTGACTTTTCAATGCTTCGCGCATATTTTTATAGTTTTAAAATTCACAATGTTACTTTTCTAATTTTTTTTTACAGTTCCAATTTTAGCTCTAACTACTATATAACCTGTTTTTTAAAATTTGATTTTTGAGAGACATTACAGCATTTATAAGGACTTGGGAGGAATAATAAATAAGAGCAAAATAATTTTTTTATAAGTATTTGTTAGAAAATAATATAAATTATATTCTAAAACCTTACTTGATAGCTTAAACTACTAGGTTGAGATAGTTTTTTGATATGGTACCAGAGCTTTGATGACTAAGCAATCATGAGTTCGAATCTTACCATCTCTATTTATTTGATAAAAATTAAACACAATGTAAAATGAGCATTGTTCCCAGTAAGCATAGCGTGATGTAAAGGGTTTGAGATTTGCACAGCAGGTCTAGTTCGAATCAAAGCATACACCTCTTGTAAGAATTTGGGACAGCTGAAGTTTTACTTACTTATCTAGTCCCACAAAGTACGCTTTCTGAAAAGTAGGGTTTTCTAAAATCCAAAAAAAAAAAGAGCATGTGCAAGTTGTAAATTCAAGCGGCTTCCACTTGATAAGGTGTGTTGGAAAATAATATAAATCATATCCTGAAATCTTACCTAACAATTTAAATTATTAGATTAATATAGTTTATTGATATTATTTAATCATAAAACATAAAATAGAAATATTTTTAAAATATAAAGGTAAAATAGAAAGATTTTTATTTACAATGTAGAATATGATAATTGATGAATCTAGAAAGACAAGAATTTAGGTGTTGTTTGTTATCTTTCTAGAAAAAAAGTAATACATAAATCATATTTTATTCAGTTGTATTTTTTTAGTATTTTTTACATTTTATGTTCGTTCATGTTTCACAAATCTATGAAATATCTCATTCTCTTTTCATTATATTCTGTCTTCTGCTTCTTCTTTAAAAAAAAAAAAACAATTAATTAGATTTATTGTCCGGCATTATATTCTGTCTTCTGCTTCTTCTTTTTCTTCTTTTTAAAACAATTAATTAGATTTATTGTCCGGGTCTTCATCACAACGAAACCAAATAACCATCAAAATGCTTCCAAACCCACTAGTTAAAACATGCGAAGTTGACATTTATAAATATTTAGACACTATTTGTTCCTTTTTAAAAAAAATTATCATTTTTGCTTTAAATTTTTTGAGGTTTTTGATTATTACTTTGATGTGCTAATGTTAAAAAAATAAAATTTTAAATTTTAAAAATAAAAAATAAATTATTTCCATGTATTTCTAAATAAAAAGTACTTTTAAATAACAACTTTAAAATAAGATAAAGATTTAAATATTATACAGTATTTGACGTTTTACATAAATATCAATTAAAAAATACATACAAATTAAGTAAACTAGATACGAAGTTCAGGTTTTTTACGAATTTTTAAAAACAATTTGGCTCACTTTATAAATTTTATATACTATTCTGGATTACTGGATTTATGAAACTCCTTTGAATTTCATTTTATGAATTATACAGTGAATTCTACAATCCAATCTTCTGCAAAACTCAACACACTTATTCGGGCATCGAATTTGCAACATTTAGCATTCTTTGGAGTGATGATAGTTAGTGTTCATATATATATATATAATTTTATTTTTACCTCCACTATAAAATATATAGGAGTAATGATGGACAAATGTTCAAGAAATAATTAATAATATTTTATTAGTTATTATTTGAGTTTATTTATAAAAGAAATAGATACAAAGAAAACTTTTTAGTTCTAGGAATTATATTTAATGCAATCATATCCTCTATGTTTCTCTTTTTATGGCTTAGAAAGAGTGATGACGTGATACAAATATTGATGGGTTTTTTTTCATGCTTGGATACTATCTTAACGACATAATTTGCAAACTATGTTTTTATTGATATTTTTGTAATTAAATAAAATTAGTTAAAAAAATGGTTAGATGGGCTGATCAATAACTCTCCAGGGCCACGAATCAAGCCTTAAGATCTAGCCTAAAAGCTAAGCTGGGCATCCAAGACACCAGGACCATGCAGCTACAGAGAACGACACTATTGTTTCTCTACTTTTTCTGCTATCAAGCCCAATATGGAATCGTGGCTTAAATAGATAAGGATGAAAATTTATTTATTTATTATTTATTTACAGAGAACGACACTATTGTTTCTCTACGTTTTCTTTTATCAAGCCCAATATGGCATCGTGGCTTAAATAGATAGGGATGAAAATTTTTTTATTTATTATTTATTTTTAAAATGTTTTAGTGTGTTGATGCTAAGAATATTTTTTAAAAAATTAAAAAATTTATTTTAATATATTTATTTTAAAAAATCTGTTAGCATGCTTGTAAATAGTAATACTGTGTTACTTCAGATTTTTTGAACACTGTTGATTGAAGTAATGCATTTCCAAGTCTGCTCATGAAAGCAATAAAATTCTCGTCGTAATTAAAAACATAATTTTTCTAGGATTATCGCTGGTTAATAGCAATAGTTAAAAACCAAAAGAATGGTCAAGCATGTTTGGAATTAATCACCTCTCTAATCATGAGGGGAAGGAAGCTTGATGGCTAAGGGTTGTAGGAGTTAGGTGCAGTTTATTAATTAAATAAATAAATAAAAACACACCAACATTCAGAGTAAGAGGACTATTACGGGTGTGCAGACAAACAAATGAACCCTATATATATCACAGTGGAATATACAAGTGGCACCTTGGATTCCTACCATTTCCAAGTCTCATAGGACCCTTTTTAAACGTGCCTTGTTTATTTATTTTGAAGAATATGCACAATGTGTGGAAAAATGGTCTAATCTGCCCCACCATTACAATGATATCCACCAAGAAATTTTGAAATTTTGTGGCTTTAGCAAGAATATCTCCATCATCTATTTGCATGCATGAATCCAGCAAATCACTACTCCAGCTTATAACATGAGGGTATCCTCAATTCTTCTTCTTCTTCTTCTTCTTATTAGGGTTATTATTAGGGTTAATGTTAGGGTTATTGACTCTGGTATGGAAAATAAAGGGGCATAGGTCATATGAAAGAACAGAGTTAATAGCATTTTATTAAGAAAGAAGAAGAAGGGTTAAGAGCTATAAAACAATTATATACCACATTAGACCTCAACATAAAAAAAAGAGTTTAAAGAGAAAGTCAAATTTCTAGCCACTTTGATTATTAATAAAAACTGCCGGTGATTCTGAGATGCTTCTAAGGATTACGTACTAGCATTGATGAGTGCTAGAAATACGTGACCACTAAGCAAGATGTATTAATTAACTTAGAAAACAAACTAAAATGATGACGCTTTTATTATTGCAAGGATTCTTTTTTTTTTAGCATTATGTTTAATAGATATTGAGATTTATGATTCGATTGTCTTTATTTGTTATATAGTCATTTTAATTTTATATTTATATTACAAGTTTAATGGATTACTTATATTAACTGAGTTGTTTTATTATATTTTTTTGTTTAGATTAATTTTTTAAAAAAATTATTATTGATTGAAAATTATATTTTATAATTTATTATATATATATATTAATTTTATAACTCGGCTTATAATTAACTTGGTTTAAATCTTTCTTCTTCTTTTTTTCAATTTGTTTTGTATACAAATTCTCGAGTTTCATGAATTCATTTGATAAATCTTTCTTGCGATCAAGAAACAGCGCTTTAGCTGTGGAACAGACGTTATTGTTCAATCATTGAAGAAACTATTGA